TTTACGAAATCTGTCTTTCATTTCCACAAAAAAAAAAACGAAATTACTTTCCGAACAACCCAATAGTATTATAATATAGAAACATTTTTCACAAAAGGAGAACATTTTGAAAAAAGGTTTTTCTAAGTTAATTTTTTTCCGAAATATTGTATTTAAATAATTTTTTTTTGTCAAAAAGCCCTTAAAAATTTTTTTATACATGTATTCTAATTTTAGTGACACTAAATATCATGAAAATTATCCATTTATGCGCTTTTTTAAAATCCCGGTTCCGAACGTAGTCGGATACCTTAAACTTACAATTATCTTTAGTTATTAAAATGACAATAAAACAGGAAACTTTCTTTGACAAAAAGTTTTCAAAGGATATTTTATATCAATAAATTATAAACCGTATTGCATTTTCCATGTGATACATTAAAAGACTCAACTATAGAATAAGAATACAAACCATTTAGCAAAATTCTTGATAATTGATCTTTCCTTTATAAAAGTAATTGAATGATAACCAGTAATATAAAAAATTAAGTCAATTCCTACCTAGGACAACAAAGAAAAATTTTAAAAAAATTAAGCTACTTTTTATTAAATAGTTACAATTAACATAAATATCTATATACATATTACACAATCACACCATTAAGTGGCAAAATAGAAAGCTATTTTCCTTTATATATATGGTATTGGATTGTTATTTGTGTTTGTTTTTATTTATTAATTAAATTTAATTATTCCAATTATATAGATAGTACAGTAAAAAGAAACCACATTCTTAGAAATGCGGCCTTTCCAGGTAGGATTAGAACCCACGACTTTGGTTTAGAGGTCCAACGCGGTATCCATTGCTCTACAGGGACACAGCGAGCGATTTTTCCTTTTATATATCGTGTTTGACCATTATTTTTGTTTGTTACTATTTATTCATTAATTCAATTTAATTAATAAATTAATATTTGAAGAAACTGTTTAAACATCAAGTGTCATCCACTAAAAGTTTTAAAAAATGTATTTGAATTTTAACTTGAGTGGATGAATGAAAAGTATTTTATTAACGATTGAAAATTTGATCAATTTATATATATATATGCTACCGGCAAAGTATGAGATGCCGGCATTCTATAGAATGCCGGACGTTTTTAGGCAAATTATGAAATAAGAGAATTATTTCATAATTTGCGTAGGTATTGTATAGAATGCCTAGGCATTCTACAGAATGACTAAACCAGTTTAGGCAAAGTATGTAATAAGGTCATGATAATGTTACTATATCAAAATGACGTACATTTCTAAAAAATACAAATGTTATTCTGACAAAATAATGAGAATGAAATTAAAAAATTATTCAAAATACGTAAAGGAAAAAGAAAGTTGTACCAGAAACAAAATTTATGTCTTTCTTTTATTAAGGAAAACAAAATTTTCAAATAAAAAATAAGAACTTAAAATTAATCTACTTATTACAACATGGTTGGCTTGAATATCATTTTGAATTACATTTCATTACATTTTTCACGCAAAGACCATTCTTATTTTCTACTTTGTTTTACACCAGTGCTTCTCAAACTTTCAATATTGGTGACCCAATATTCAATCATAATTTTCACCTCGCCCCCTCCATATAATACCAATGTATTGAATTCAATAGTACTCTACTTCGATGCTACAACTGCAATACGACTTAAACCTTTTAAGTGCCATCGACGTATATAAACTTCTCGCTTAGCCAAAGCGTTATTTTTCCCGGATGTATATATACGCCTTTACGAAGCACGATCTTTTCTGTACACTGCTATCCATAAAATTATTCCAAAGGCTTTGGGATGCATTAAAAGGACCTGGATAGAGTGTTTTCGAAGGATTTATTTATTTCAGAGGATTTGTTTATTTATCTC